AAAGGTTGGGAAACTCTCTGTGGGCAATAAATCTTCAAGTGACTTGGGATTCTGATTTGTGACATCCAGTGTCACGGAAACATCTTCTCCAAGATACTGGGAACCTTCAGAAAAGGAACACAGAAAAGAGCAGAATTACTGGATTTGTTTCACAAAAGTTGTTGCTCTGGTCCAAACATGGATATTTGAGAGGAAGAGTGAAAGCGTTTGCTCACAGATAATAAGTCACAGTTATAGGCTCATTGTTTAAAGCAGCCTGTTTACTGTACCTCAACTGGCGGAATAGTCCATTCCACCCAGTTAGTTTCAGCTGGTTACAGAATGATGTCACATCCTTCTAAAATAAGCGAGATGCCTTCAGGTTACATTCTGAATAAAATAGTCAGATTTAACATCCACAACGGAGACAACCTGAGAGGGTCCCATTATTCCCAAGAGTTACAGAAAAATAGCACAGCGTGTTCACGTTTCTGTGACTTTTACATGGATTTAGGAAAATATTAGAATTCGGAAATTCGGAAATAGTAAAGTATGCCGAGAAAGAGTGCAGACGTATTGTATCCCCGCTCATCCCTGGATGCAGTTTATTTTTGAATTACATGGCACACGCTCTGGTTGTCATTCTCATGCAAAGGTTCACTGAAGGCTTTTATAGTCGTTGTGGGAAAAGTTCCACTTCTAGCTTCAGTCATTACTTTGTGTCTCTACAGCATGTTTTATGCATTTGTTTTGTACGTGGGAAATGAAGTCAGTTCTTAATTTCCCATATGTCATGGCTGAAAGGGGTCTCCGTTCTACAGTTTGTTATTTTCACATCACAGTTGTTGAGGTTGTTTGTCAAATGCTGAGCAAACATGACTGAGGCCGTTCACTGAGTGGACATTTACAGCTGCTCTGCTACGTTTGCTAAAAATGATTACCTATTCAGGGGTATGTATTTTATCATATATCTCCAGAGAGGTCCAGAGACAAACACATATCAGTGAATATATATTTTACCTACTTTTGGGGTTAGGATTTCTGCAAGAATCTCCAAAGTTGAAACAAATAGATCACATAGATGAACTTTGGCTTTGTTTATGCGTCCAGATGCTGCCAGCTCTTCACTCGATGGACGTCATAATAACTCCACAGCTTTACTCTCAAAACTCTGCAGAATTTCAAAAGAAAATTGATTGGAAATGGTCCCTTTTTTCACACTCCCTGTAGCTAAAAGGTGGTTTCAGCGATAGTGACGCGGACCATCATTACAGCCATTTCTAACCGCTCCAACCTGGAGTTGTTTGTAATCCAAATAACAAAGCATGACGGTGACACTGCTATTAATCTTTTTTTTTTCTCACGTCCAAGCTTTTATTTTCTTTTTTTAAATTCTTTGTCATCAAGAGTCTGATTCAAGGTGCTGTCAAAAAGTGTTGCTTTCACTGGCTGTTCATATTTTTTTTTCATGTGCACAGTTTAGGGTTTTAGAATATGCAATTAGAGTGTTTTTTTCACCGAGGATAAAGATGGTGATTATATCATTGTTTGGTATTGTCTGTGTTACTCAGACTTCTCGTCATTTTTATGAGAGTCACTCACTTGTGTGAGTCTGGGCTCATTCCTCTGTTATATGTGGGTGGCTGTGCTTGATATACACTGTATCAGTGAACTTGGATTTACATCAAAACCTCGTTTGTCTTTTACACTGAAAATTATTTTATCCACAATGAGGCGTTGAAATGTGATTAAATGGGGCAAAACATTGGCCGTTAAAATATCTGGCAAACCCTCATCGTCTAGCAAAACATACAGTAAATGTCTCACTGCAGTTCTTCACAGCATCCCAGGGTTTTTTTATTATTATTATTTTAATGAAAATAATAATAATTATGATTATTATTAAAAACCATAATAATAATTTGTAATTAGATGCATAGAAAGGTTCATTCCTATACACAGCCTGTATTGGACTCCACCATGCCCAGGGGATGATGTAGCTGAGGCCTGGTCGATAGTTTGAGGGAGGAACTTGCAGCGGACCAGCTGTGAGGTCAATCCCTTTAACCCCTCCACTGGCCATTAGAACTTTCCTTTACATAAACCTCCAGCTTTAAAGACTTAACACTGAAACTTTGCTACTTCTCTCATCTATAAACAGACTTTTTTAATCAACTTGTCGGAATCTTTGAAGAAGTTTGTTCTGATCTAATCCTGTTTCCTTTATTTCCTCTTCACACTCTGTGTTCCTGAGGGAGAAATATCAGTTTTGGAACTCAGCCCAAAGAAACCTTATTCACTCTGTTCTCTCCTGCCGCCTTTCTTTACTTGGGTTCTCGGCAGTATTAGCTATTTCCTGCTGGATAGATGGATGGATAGATTGTTGGATGAATGGTTGGATGGATGGATGGGTGGGTTGATGGATGGATGGATGGTTGGATGGATGGGTAGATTGATAGATGGATGGGTGGGTCGATGGATGGATGGATGGATTCAGAATTATTAGTATGCAATGTTTTTGTTCTCCTATGTGAATTATATAATAATAATATCAAAACTTTAGCCAAAAAAATATTCAATTTTCCATGAAGATGCCCTAAAATTAAATGCCACAAAAAAGGTCACATCGAACCTGTTCTATTGTCACAGTTAAATACAATGAATACAAATGAATGTAACATTTTACTCAACATTTGACCCAAAAGGCCAAATCTTTGAAAGTTGGTCTTGCTTCTCTGTATTTTTTTTTTTTACTTTTACAGCTGATTTGTCGGACCAAACCGATGACTGGACAAAAAGTAAGTTTTTCTAATAAAAGACATTTTGAGTGTTGAAAACCCTGACCTGTTCATAATTCGCTGATTGTTCTATCACCTTGCTCTGTTGGACTTCTTCTTTTAGCAGTGGAAAGCACAATTTCCGCAGCTATAAAATGACTGTGCCCTGACTGAGCTAAATTAATTAAATATATTTTTAGCTCTACTGATGGAAGCTAGAAATTTAATGTAGAGAAAAGGGAATTTTAACGCCATTCTCAATGATGCAGAGCTGAACAAGTGAGGAAAAAACCCCAACCAAGCACAAAAAGAACACCAGCGTGAAACAGATGTGTAGTGAAAGAGGACGGGGGCTGGAGGGAGATGATCCTCTGTGGTGACCCCTGAGACAGGAAGAAGAATTAAAAAAAGAAGACGATACAGCATTTATGATGTATATTAAAAATCACACTGTGATCACTGGTGTTTTTAAACACTTTTTTAAGAAATTAGTGTTTAAAAATGTTTAAAAGAGTTTTCTGACAGCTGCTGTGATGATGACTCACAACAAGATTAAATTAGCAAATACAAATTTAAATATCCAACTGATGTACCAATATATATATATGACCAATATATATTTATATATACATATATATGTATGTATATATGTAAGTACATACGCATATAACAGACGCGTAACGCCGTGAACCTTTAAGTATCTCATCAGTTGACGTTGTCCGACAACACGTGAATGCCACCGCTGAAACTGCCACATTAATGCGCATAAAAATTCAAAAAAAAATTCACTGACTGAAAAAATATATAGCCGGTGTTTCAAAATAACGCAGGAAAATGACCACCAAGTCTTAAATTCCGTAAGACAGGGAAAACAAAAAAAAAGAACAAAATTCGAGATTAGA